ATCTAACGTCTGGACGCACTGCGCAACCTGGTTCTCGAGTGGACTTGGGATTGTGGAGCCAAGCAAATGCGACTGGGCAATGTGCTCCCCAATCGCATTGGCCTTCTCTTCGTTGGTGATAAGCCGTTCGTCATTGACTCTAAGTGGTGGAATAGGCTTGGGGTGAGACTTCAGCACCTTGGCAATCTTCCTGAATGATCTGGAACGGTCGTCCAGGTTCTGAACGAGCCACCCGAAACTCTCGTTCCGGATTGAGACCATTCTGGAAGCGATCTGCCGATTCAGATCGACCATTTCGTACTTACGCTGCAGATCCCCAGTCCGCTGAAACTGGCGTCTACGAACATTTCTGAGCCAAATCAAGAGTTTGGTGTGGGAATCAATTGCTTGAAACTTACCCCTCACAGGAACTCGTCGAACGCACTCTTCGTCAGCCACGGTTTGATGGAGACCCTCCAGGGCCCGGTCGATGTCCTCCACTGTGTCGAGCGGTGGGTTGTCGTCGATGTGGCGGTCAACCACGCGCCGAAACTGGACCCAGTTGACTCGATGGTAGTCCTTCCGCAGGCACGGTGCAGGGGCCACGTTGCAGCCCAGCTCGGTCAACATCGGTTGGTGGTCCGAACTCAGGTCGTTGACGGCAACCGGCTTGGCTAATCCGGTGTTTGCCAAGAACAGGTCCAGCGTCGATGGGTTGCCCGCCGGTGATGTGAAGGTTGGTTCGTCCGGAAACCAGACGGAACAGAGACCATGCTGGGAATGGTCGAATAGTAGGCGGCCGTTCTGGTTCTGCTGGTAGTTCCGCCAGGCCTCGTGCCGGGCGTACAGGTCCCCTCCGATTACGAAGCGGGCATTGGTGCGGGTTATGATGGCAAGGTCGTTCTTGAACTGCTGTGCTGTACCATTGCTAACGGTACATTGCCGGGGGCAGTAGGCGGCGATGAACCGGATGTTTCCGGTCGATGTTTCCACCTCTACGCCGACGGCCTCGATGATGGAAGTGCGGTAGTGGGGTAGGGTGCAGTACTTGATGCCTTTCTTGATGATGACCGCGACACCGCCCCCCTGGAGCTGGTGCGATCAAGCCGGACAATGCTGTGGTCGGGCAGCCAGAAGCTGTCACCGGTCTTGAGGTGGGTTTCGGTGAGAAGGCCCACGTCGATGTCGTGCTTGTGGAGGAAGTCCGCTAGCTCAATGTTTTTTGCCCCTACGGAGCGAGCGTTCCAGTTGGCCCGGAGGCTTGACCGGGTACTGCAGCGGCAGCCGACTGGGCAGCAGCCAACTGTTGGTTGAGCGGGAGCGGCGGCAACACTGGAATTGGCCGTGGTTGGACCGGTGATAACGGAGGATAGTTCTGCGCGTTGTTTTCCGCAACCTTCTTGCGACCGGGCTGGTTGTTGGACGAGTCCTTCTTCTGGATCTCGGCGTATTCGGCCCGCTTCGGACAGGCCTTACTCGTGGCCTTGTGGGCGGCACCGCAGTTGGCGCATGTGGGAGCGGCTTCCTCGATGCTGTCGCAGTCGTCGATCTTGTGGTTTTTGCCGCATTTGATGCAGCGGCTGGCCATGCGGCAGTTCCTGGTGCCGTGCCCGAACAATAGGCAGTTCGAGCACTGAGTGACGCCACGGTGGGTCGGCTTATACCGCTCCCACTTCACTACGATGTGGAACAGTGTGCGTGTCGCCTGGAGATCCTTCACGGTTGTGGAGTTCTTCTCCAGATGGACCAGATAGAGCTGGTCACGATACTTGATGGCCTTGCTGCGGGTCATCTTGTGGATTTCGACCGGCTTGAGGCCGTTCGCCTTAATCTCGTTCATTAAGGTGGTGGAGTCCATGTCGTGGAGCCCGCGCAGCACCACTTTCAGCGGCATGGTGGCCTCGACGTTGTGGGAGAAGTACTCCAGCTTCATTATGTCCAAGAGGGCCTGGACTGCGTTGTAGTGTTTTTCGGCCGGGACCATCAGTTTGTAGCCTTCCGTGCACCGTTGAATGGTGCAACGAAGGCCCTGCTTAATGTAGAAATCCAGCTGCTCCCATAGCCCGGGAGGGAAGCCCTTCACATAGAAGGGTGGCAACTTCACTTTTTTCGGCACCGTCTCAGGGGCTGCTGGAATACGAGCTGACCGATACGATTACGGTGCTGTGAACCGAGAAGTGAATTGCTGGTCTGAGTTCCTCTAGTATGTTCAATAAAAGTATTTTTCTGAAATACAAAACAGCACGTAATGTTGTCAACAACTTCAATGACAGCTGTCCAGCAGTGCTCCCATTTTATTAAATGAACAATCCAATGCCTACGATATTGCGCCGAAGGATGTGCCCAAGCTGGGCCGAATCTACTTTCGACACACTGTGCTGAATGACTTACCCCTTGGCTGATGGCTAGATTTCGGAAGTATTCGACGAGATCCTATGAAATAAATTCGTTGGTTGGGAGCTTCATACGAATAGCTTCAGAGTGTGCTTCTGCTGTAGATGGTTGGAGGAATTTATTATTTGGGTTGGTTAATGTTATTTCCGCACAACTTTTTGAAAATACAAAAAAAAACAGCTGCTGCTGGCTGGCTAGCTATGAATGGTCCGAGGTGCGATAAAGAAAATGACAGAAAGTCAAACCATGATACACACTAAAAACTAAATGAGATTATCAATAAATAGCGATAAACGCGTGTTATTATTTGCAGAAACCCACAAAAATCGAATTTATGAAGCAAATTTGATTGAAATCCGTTAAATTAAATGTAGAATGGATTACTTTCGTTCCCCTTGGCTCAAATGGTTCTAAAAGAACTATACAGAGGAAGCTTCTTAAGAAGATTATTATAGAAGTTTTAATATGTAAACGTCTGTTTGCCGGAATCCATCTTATAACTCCTTCACATGTTTGTTGACAATAAGATTCCTTTAAAATTCTGTTCAAAATTTTCATTGAACTCAATGCTCTCCTCAGAGACTATTAAAATTCTCTTATGATTTTTTCCTTCTGTTCCTCTCCTCAATTTTGTTATTATTAAAACCAGAATACGATTGCTTTGATATTTTTATCGGAGTTATCCGCAGAAAACACCCTCCATTCAAATCGACAGAATTGTCAAAAGCTGTTTGAAAACGTTTTTACAACGCGCCAAACTTTTCAGGTGAGTGTCGGCAGCCTCTTTTTCTTCGGCAATCTTTCCATTTGAACTGCGTTTTAACCAGCTATTCTACTATCGGCAACTCGAAACCATCCGTATTTTGTAAAAAAAATAACATTGATGCAAAATTGTGCACTCCGTTTTTGTGTGTGCATTTATTTTTAGCGTTTTGAAGTTGAATCGCTGAGGATCAATCTCATTACCATAGAAAAATTTCAAGAGTACAGATATCAGCTCTCACAAAACTTATAACAAAGAAACTGGAACTTCACGTTTGTTGCCGTCTAGTACACAAGGAGTTTCAATTTCATGAGTGATGTCACAACCGTCCAAGAATTGTGTCCTAGAAATCTCGAAGTGATAGGGAATATCATTGTTGGACGCTTCAATGAATCACTTGAAGAAAGCCTTACTCATATCTGATTGTAATTTAGGAACCAAATTAAATAGAATATGTGTTCGCATTTTTATGGGGTCCTGAAATTAACCAAGTTTTACTAAGTAGGAAATCCAAAATATGTACATAGGACCGAAATCATAGGTTACTTCTACTGTATTTTAAATCAATATCACAACCCCACCAAATTTTTAATATAATTTTATAATTTTATGGCTATTAATAATTAAAGTTTCTAGAACAAGTTCTGTTGTAAAGAGAAGCTTTAAACTCAATTTGTTGACATATGTCAGATAGGACCTTTTGAAAGGTTTGTCTAGATTTGTCCATGAAAACTGTGATTGAGATTTGAATTTTTGTTATTTTCTCACGGCTGAAAGACTCGATAATAAAGAAAACTAACTAACATAATGCTGCCAGCAACAAGCTCTGAGTTAGATGGAATGATTGGAGTCATAGGTTTCAGATATTTAATAGAAACGATTTATTTTTATTTTTGAGATTATTAGTCGTCAACTAGTTTATCTCAATTTTAGTATATGATTTAGTAGCGGTCCCTTTTTTAGGAAATAAATCCTTGGTTGCTCCTCCTTCTTTTTCGCCATCAAGACATCGCATTATATTTTGATGAATTCCAATTATATTATCATAATTTAAACGCTAGAAGAGAACAGAGCGAATGCGTTCAAATTCATTGATGGACCAATATAAATACTTCCTACTTACACGATTTCAGCATCACAGAATCATTTACTTCCATTGTTCACCTGTCCACTTGGCTTAGCGCTTTCCGTAAACAAAAAGAAAAAAAAGCATTCCCATTATGTATGGTATCGCTATTCTTCCCCTCCGAACGCCCTGGAGGTTTGAGGTGTGAAGCGGTAACAGCATTACTCTCTTAAAAAATCATCCTGCAGCATTCCGATGGCGGCTAAAATCTGAAACCCACTCCCCCAAAAAAAAAGAGCTTTCCTTTTTTCCACTGCCCACCGTGCTAGGTTCTACATCAACGCCAGATTAATGCAATTATTTTTCCCCCAAGCCGGTTGCCCCAAAATACCCATTAGCATTCCAAGTGCTGTTGAACATAAATTTCCACCATCCGACCAACGTTTTCACGAGCCAGCTCACCAGCATGAAAGGCAATTTTTCGCCTGTTCCTACCCATCCGAAGAATCACAGACTGAGCGACCGACCGACCGACCCGACGATGGACGGCGTATGGATGGCCACTTGAAACGGAGCAGGTGAAAAAGCGCTCAAACAGCAGAAAAGCCAAACTAATTAATGGCCCTTCTCAAGACGCTCAAGCCCAACCGACATCGAAATATGCTTTCCGCGAATAAGATAAAGCACCACACCGGTGATGGGCGGCGGGTGACAGTTGTTGGACCAAAGTTTTACGCCTGGCGTTGCGTAACAGGCGGGAAATTTACCGGGGCAGGTTGGTACTAGATAAATACTCACCGACAACCGTCAGGACGTTGGTGGCCACGCCGGTGTAGAACGTCGGTGCTTCTGCCGTCACTTCGCAGGTAAAGTTACCGGACAGGTTGAAGCCCACGTTCCGCAGGGTGACGTGCGATGCGTTCGAAACTGTCATCTGTGAAATAGAGAATTGGCAGAGATGAATAACGGAGAATGATTGAAGGATGGGAGGTAAATTGTTTCGGATATTTACTGTTGAACTGACAGTGAAGAGCAGGAAGGTTTTTAATATTTAAGACATATAAGACATATTTGGGTGCTACGGAAAGATATTTTTATCAACGATGGCAGCACGGAAATAATTCAGTCACCGCCATCGGTTAAGTTAATCAAGGAAAGGGTAGGAACGTGATTGCGTGATACTCGATGTGTTGGAAACCGAGAAATCCTCTGCACTTCCACGAGCAATCACTGGTATGTTGGATAAAAGGGTTGGGTATGCAGCAGGGTTTCGTTTTGGCAAACGGTACGCTAAATTAAAGTGATGTGTTCAGGTCAAGAAAGAAAGTTACTATAATGTTTTTCTCAGGAAGTAAAAACGACCGCTCTAAGACCACCGAGCCCTTCACATCTCGCAATTAATGATTGAGGTGTTGTGGACACCAACACCGACGACAACGACAAGTTTCACAAAACACATGATGGGCAGATAATGGAATTGATCCCACGATTTTCTGCTCAGTTGGAAAAAAGGCTGTTCAAGGCAGTTGAGTCCCTCATATCGCTACATAGGAATTATGATCGTGTTGAAACTATATCCATTCCATTCCAACGATGCACAGTGAACCCCAAGTAGCATTTCTTGTTTTATTGCACTCTATTAGTGGTTTTTGAGATCAATTTTATAAAACCGTCAATAAAATTAATAGCTCCAGCACAACATTTTGATAACCGCTATAAATTCGTCTTACATTTAGTGGACCACTCTTGATAAGGTTTATATAGCATGTTTGAGAATCACAATAAATCTGTCTTAAAACCTTTTGTCATAAAGCCTCCGGACAGATGCAGGTAGTTCCTGAAGCAGCCATGACCAGACAGGAACTGCGTCAAGTGGAAGTTGACTTCTCCATGTCCAGGTCGAAAGAATCGGTATTAGCCTGTGTGCCCATCTAACGTTCTCTGCTGCATCCCACTCCTGCTGCCACTTAGCCATCGACACCGTTCTCACCATTTTTCGTACTCCTCTGGTTTCTCTCGTCATATAGCACTAAATAGTAGTCCTCCGCCAAGGTGATGCCGATTGGGATCATACCGGCGATAACGCATACTGCCTCCATTGAAATGGTTTTGTACGCACTCACGACTGACATGGCCATGAGTCGGAACGTACTGCTCAATTTCCTTTGGTTCTGCTTCGTTTTCAGCGCTTCAATCCAGGTAGGAACTCCGAACCCTAGACACACTAGCCAGAAGACGCCTCTTGCTGCTGCTTACCAATCGTATCTATAGCCTCGGCCGCCAGCATTTCCACTCCTTCCAGCGTCTCACCGGTTACCGTCAAGACGAAATCGTCCGCAAAGTCAATGATTTCAACTCCTTTGGGTAGCTTGAGCGTCAGCACGCCATTGTACATTTCGTTCCACAGCGTGGGACCTAGAATGGAGCCTTGTGAAACTCCCGACGTGATTCTAAGCGATTTCTGCCCCGTATCTGTCACGTAGACCAGGACCCGGTTCTGGAAGTAACTACTTAGAATCCTGCAGACGTAGTCTGGAACCCTCATTCTATGCAGCGCCTTGGCGATGGTCTCCCAGCTGGTGCTATTGAATACATTCTTCACATCAATCGTAATCACGGTGCAGTATCGATTTCCTCTCCGCTTGGAAACTTTCTCGGTTCTGTCAATCACTGCCCAAATTACATCCCCCGTCGATCTCCCTCTAAGGAATCCGAACTGCCTCTCCGACAATCCGTGTTCACTTTCGGTGCACTTCGTCAGCCTGTTCAGGATGATGCTCTCCAAGAGCTTTCCGACAGTATCCAGCAAGCATATTGGCCTATACGACGCAGGATCCCCCAGTGGTTTTCCGGGCTTCGGCAACAGTACAAGCTTTTGTACCTTCCACCGTCGTCCAGACATTTCTGCAGCACCATCCTGAATATGTCCGGGAACGTCTGGATCGCCGCCTTCAACATCACGTTGGGAATTCCATCCGGGCCGGGAGCTTTATTCGCCTTCAACCCTTTTGCTGCTGCAGTTGTCTTAGGCCCAGGACGCTGCTGTCTACCCTTAGAGCTTCGATGAAGAGATCCTTATTGAATGCCTTCGTCTTCCACTTCCGCTCGCTTACTTTCGTCCTCCGCATTTCCACCGGTGTCCGTTCGCCGATACTGTACCGGATCGCCTGATGATCACTATGGGTGTCCTCTTTGCACACTCTCCAGTTCATATTTGACATTAGCGACGTACTGCAGAAAGTGACGTCGATAATGGATTCTTTGCGGTAGGTGCTGATGGTTCCTAAGTTGGCCAGACTGACGTTCAACTTTGCCAGAGCTTCCAGCAGGTTATACCCTCTTGCGTTGGTACACCTGATCCCCCAATCTGTCTGTCTGTCCTGTCTGTCCTGTCTGTCTGCCCTGTCTGTCTGTCCTGTCTGTCTGTCCTGTCTGTCTGTCCTGTCTGTCTGTCCTGTCTGTCTGTCCTGTCTGTCTGTCCTGTCTGTCTGTCCTGTCTGTCTGTCCTGCCTGTCTGTCCTGTCTGTCTGTCCTGTCTGTCTGTCCTGTCTGTCTGTCCTGTCTGTCTGTCCTGTCTGTCTGTCCTGTCTGTCTGTCCTGCCTGTCTGTCCTGTCTGTCTGTCCTGTCTGTCTGTCCTGTCTGTCTGTCCTGTCTGTCTGTCCTGTCTGTCTGTCCTGTCTGTCTGTCCTGTCTGTCTGTCCTGTCTGTCTGTCCTGTCTGTCTGTCCTGTCTGTCTGTCCTGTCTGTCTGTCCTGTCTGTCTGTCCTGTCTGTCTGTCCTGTCTGTCTGTCCTGTCTGTCTGTCCTGTCTGTCTGTCCTGTCTGTCTGTCCTGTCTGTCTGTCCTGTCTGTCTGTCCTGTCTGTCTGTCCTGTCTGTCTGTCAGTCTGACCCTTATAGATTTGGAAACTACTGAACCGATCGGCGTGAAAATTGGTATGCAGGGGTTTTTGGGGCAGGTAAAGATTCTTATGATGGTTCGAGACCCCTCCTCCTCATTAAAGAGGGGCTCCCATACAAATTAAACAGAAATTTCTGCATAACTCGAGAACTAATCAAGCAAATGGAACCAAATTTGGCATGTGGAGGTCATAGGGGGTAGCCTCTTAGATAAGAAGAGAGAGGGGCTACGTACGACATATCATGCCTTTTTTTTAATTGGCGCATAGACGCTAATATTGAATCCCGAGCAAGGCCGATCACACTCAGCTAGTTCTGAATAAATCCTAATAAGAGTTTCAAGGGAATTGCAAAGGTGGTCTGAGATGCATTTCTTAGTATGAGAAATTTAAGAAGAACTCAGTGGAGATTGCTGAACTTCAAGACATTTCTGATGGATTGCATGGGAATCCTATGAAAATTTTAAGTGTATTTGCAAACAAAGTAAGGAAACTATAGCGAATTCTTTAGATAATCATTAAAAATTCCAAAAGAATCTTAAGATGAATTCCGACTATTGGAGTGTTATATGCACAGAATTTTTAGGCTGTTATAAAGAAGTTGAAAACTTCCAATCGAACTTGATAGATTTGATGCCATTGATAAAAGACGAGTTAACATATTTGCTCACTTCTCTGTGCCGTGGTTTTATCAGTACAGTGTTTTGAAATCATTTTTTTCCCCAATTGTTAACCATCTTCGTACGATGACATCAGATATGCCACATCTGGAAATACTTCGGATGGCCAATATTTTAACAAAACATATTATGCCAGTGACTTCTTGACGCAACCCCGATATCCATGCAGTCTTATCAGTTCAACCTGGACTGGTCAAATATAATTTGGGTCGTATTAGCTCAACATCGATAAAGCTTCCAAAGCGATCCAATGATGATCCCAGTTGGTGGTTGAGTAAGATTAGTGGATAAATGAAATTACTTTTTGAATGCATACCGTTATCTCTCCAGGTAATCCCGATATCTGCATTGAGGCAGGCCAAGCTGTTATCAGCATAAGTTTATCTTTTGAATATAAACTGCATTGATAACAGCAAATCAAACCGCCGTCGCTCATCCACCTACAGTCCATTGTTTGCTTTCAAATTTGCTGGGTGACTACCATCGGAGCTATGTTACGTTTCCTCATACAGCTCGTAAGTTTCACTTACCTAGGCTCGAACTTTCGTTGTCTGGCTGTCCCGATAACGCTCGAACTGACCCCAGCCCCTACGCCATATCCTACGCACCCAATGGACGATCCAGAATGGGAGCCACCTCAAGGACCCCAGCAAGAGTTGGATCAGCAGTTTTGGATCAACAGCGGTCAGCAGCTACTGCAGGAACAGCTCTCCAAAAATCGTCTAAATCGTAACCTTGCCAAGAACGTTATCATCTTCATCGCCGATGGAATGTCCATCACAACACAATCAGCTGCACGGATGTACATGGGTGGCGAACACCTCGCCCTATCCTTCGAGATGTTTCCGCACACAGGGTTGGCCAAAACGTACTGCATCAACTATCAGGTGTCGGATTCGGGGTGCACGGCCGCGGCGATTCTAACCGGAGTGAAGAACAACTACGGAACGATCGCCGTCAGCGGGAACGTACCGTTGATGAATTGTGAGCGTAGTTTGGTGGAAGAGAACCGATTGAACTCGATTCTCAAATATGCCCAGCAGGATGGACGTGCGACGGGGATTGTAACCAATACTAGGATAACGCATGCAACACCAGCGGTTTCCTATGCCGTATCTGGGGCACGCTACTGGGAGGACGACGAGGATGTGCCTCCTGGTTGTACGGATATTGCCTTGCAACTGATTCACGGGGATATTGGGCGGAACTTGACCGTGGCCATGGGAGGCGGCTCACGGCATTTCTATCCAGCTGGTGCTTCCATCGAAGGACATGGGACGGTTGGAAGAAGACGGGATGGTCGGTTTTTGGTGAATGAGTGGATCCATGCTGTTGACCAGAGAGGGGAAAGGGGAGCTTTCGCACGGAACCGACAAGAGCTGGCTAGCGTTGACGTGCGGGTGGTTGACCGTCTGCTGGGACTTTTCGCTGGAAATCACATGAGCTACCGAATGGAGAACGCAGTTGATGAACCAACGCTGGAGGAGATGACTGCCAAAGCAGTGGACATGCTTTCCAGGAACGAACGAGGATACGTGTTGATTGTGGAAGGTGAGTGAGTGATCATTTGCTATACACTTCTTGCTTTTGATGTGTGACAAATAATCCGAAAAGGTGACGAGTTTATAACCCTTCCAATCGAAAAACAATTCCCCTCCTCACGAACTAAATCAATGCTCGACAGAGCTCAAGAACAAATCAATTTTCTGTGAAATTCTGCCCGGTGAGCGTCCTTTGATGGCTATTTTTCATCTGTATGAAAAATTGATTCCCCTCTGCTGGGTAAGGAGCAAAAGTATAACCGGTTGGCGACGTCGAAGTCGTATGCTGGGGTATGCTTCATTGGTCTCGGACTGGCAGTCGGGTCCGCTTTGGTCCGGAAACAGGAAGAGAAGAATGCACAAGCACATACACAATACAGCCGGCAGCAAGCTTTGGCAGCTGAGTTCGATCGGAAATGGATTTTATTGCACTGCTGGGATGAACGTTTGCCATCGGTGCTTGAAGATGGGGAGTTTCAATTTGAAAGGTTTTAATATTTTTTTGTATTGAAAATATCGAGATAGACAAATTGTTCAGAATCTCTCGATGGAAAATTTCACCTCTTTCGAATGGTGATGATTTCTGGAATGCAGATTTTGGGAAATATTATTCTAACAAACACACCGTGGTTACACTATTAAACAAAACATTTTCCTTTTATGTTAGAACCAGCTCTCCAGGAAATATAAGTAAAGATTAATGGAACGATTTTTTAAAAGCGTTATCACTCATTACCAAAATCAATCGATTTAAAAACACACCATTCCATCCGATAGCACCGTATCCCACCCTGCTTCAATCGTTCACCAATCTCTCCCATTCACTCAGAATACCTATCCATCCTATGCCAATCCACTCCCACCCTTCACCTTGTTACCAGCCAACGACGGTGTCGACCTTCCAAGAAATGGATCTAAAAAAATCCGGAGGAAGTCACACAGCATCAATCACTTCAAGGACGGTACGGGTGAACCCTCGGCTTGTTTGAAGCACCAAGAACGGAGAGGGGGAAAAACTTCCACCCAAGAAAGTGGAACGATTGAAAGAATAGCAAGTGAAAGAGTTTTTAACAACTATATAAATCGTTCTGGGATCGAGAGCACCGCAGAAAAAAACCCAAACTCCCCCGGATTGGAAACCTGACCTCCATTTCTCCCCTGCTCCATCAACTGGAATTCCGTTGGACTACATTTTAAAAAATTGGGAAGAGAAATGGTTCGCAAAATTTGTTGAGGATGAAGCGATGGGTTTGTGGGTTTCGTCTGTTTTGCTTTGGGTTTTCGTAGCGGAAATTTATGGAAGTTGAAGTCGAGCGATTTCGGATTGATTGGAACATTTAAGCGATTTTCCTTTTCGTTCCAGGAGGCCGAATCGACCACGCCCATCACGATAACCTAGCCCGGCTCGCTCTGGATGAGACGGTTGAGTTGCATCGGGCAGTGCAATATGCAGCTCGCCATACCAGCGAACAGGACACCTTGATCGTAGTCACGGCAGACCACTCCCATACCCTCACCATGGGCGGATATCCAGTTCGCGGGAACAACATCCTGGCGACCGGGGACTTTTCCCGCCTAGATCGGATGCCTTTCTTCACGCTAACCTATGCCAATGGGCCGAGCTACTTTGACCACTTCTCACCAACGGGCGGCCGCAAGAATCCCCTCTTCATGGACTCCCAAAGCCCTGCATTCACCTTCCCGGCGGCGGTTCCCTACGAAGACGAAACCCACGGCGGTGATGACGTTGCCGTTTTTGCACGCGGTCCCTACTCTCATCTGTTCAGTGGGCTGTACGAACAACATCTGATAGCACATCTGGTTTGGTACGCTTCCTGTCTGGGGCCGGAAGAGATGCATCACTCGCAAGTCTGCTCGGATCGGATGACGGGTGGAAAAGCTGGCATAATCGGAATTCGCTGGATTCCGATGGCTTGTCTTGTGGCAATTTCTCTATCCGAACAACTGGCATTTTAATCAGGTTAATAAAAATTCCTTCACTTCACAACACCGTTTTCACCACGGTCCATCAATCTTCGTGGTTTGACACGGTAGCACCTGTAGCATGTTTACTTTTACGCCCTTTGTGAAAAAAATCCCGCACATGCCAGGAAAAATTGTAATTCATTTCAGTCCTTTCCGTGCTACAAGAAGGGAGTGGGAGCCATCTGATTTATCAACCGCAAATTGAAAAATTGTTCTATCCTGAGACATACTGCTGTATTGCTCCGATGTGGTCACTTTGCAACAACGTTCGACACAATTCAAGCCGAACGATGGATTAAAGGTTGAACACGAAAAAATCCGGTCACGAACATCTTTAAAATTGCGTTTTGTTTTTCATAGTTCAATGTAACAGCTATACATTATTTACTAGGTATTATGCTTATTGTAAGACCATTGTTTTGGTCTTCCTTCTTACCAGAGGCCATTGCTCGAACCTTTCTAGTATCCTACTGCGATGTTGTCACGATACCTTGTCCATTTAGTGCGATTATGCAGGTCCAATGGATACAGAGTAGTTCATTTTTAGTTCTGAGTGATGGATGTGATGGATGAGTGGTTACCGCCGCTGAAGTGGAATCTTGGTCGAGTCACTGAAGTATTCCAAGACTCTGACGGCAACAATAGCAGTAATAGCAGTGAGCACAAGCAATGAGGTCCTCCGAAGAACCATCTCGATGATTTGGATGCTTCCAATTTGGGATAACGCAACATTTACCAACGAGGAGCACTAGTACTTCTCCATCGGTATGGCCTCCACGAACCAATTAAGTTTTGTATTATATCAGTATTACAAAAAGTTTATAGAAGTTTCATACTTCATAGCCGCTGTTCTACCCCGGTACCGGGCCCCTGGGACGTCCAACCACACGGAGCCAACTTTCGAACTTTAGTCCAAGCCCTTGTTCACTTGAGTTCCATTTCCGAGGTACAAGCATGCATTGGCGAAGGTTGATGTGTAATCGTCCAGTCACGAAGTCGTGTAAAGTCCCCTAACCAAGCAATCATTGGAGTAGCCAGTTTATCTCTTGGTCATCTGCTTATCTTGAATGAAAATAATCACTTCCATTTCGTCGAGGTCAATCCTGACAGCATCCCGTGGTCCATTAACCTGCAGTATCCAGAACGGAGTTTGGCTAACTCTACGACTATCAGTGCAGCAAAAAGATCAGTCCTTGAAGCGGTAAGAGCTCACCGCTACCGTCAGGATCCAATCTCGTGAGTCATTAAGAGCGATCAGTAACATACTGAATTATGGCATTATCGTCGTCGCTGGGAGCGGTCGCTCAGGCCACGAGGGCCTCCGCTCCAGGCAAGTTAATTTTTGATTCACAAATTCAAGTCGAAAAGCACTCTATTTTTTCTAGAGACGAATGATGCCCATCCACACCGTCATCGAGGACAACCGCAGGGCAACCAGGAAGATCTCCTACCGTTGATTGATGTCCAAGAAATCGATTGAATCCCAAAGGCACATTACCAACGCACCGACATGTAATCCGTACCTACCAAGCCGACGTACCGAAGACGTACCGAAGAACAGCAGGAAGAACTAGGATCGGTTCGAGTCCAGCTAATGGTATCGAAGTCAAGAGTAGCACCACTGGAGGATTTGAAGCAGAAGAAACGCAAGCAGTCTACGGGGCGTCTAGAACTCTCGTCCGCTTTGTTACTCAGCCATCTATACGAAAACGTGCGTCGTAGCACTCAACTGGCAGGTTCCTCGTATTTCTGGACGGACCCCAACATCGTAAAACTTTGGATTGCTGTTGTTGCAAATATAAATATAAATCCCAGTATACGTTCTCTCAAGAGGTACCACACAGCTTGAATACCAGAACAGTTGGTTCAGAGGTCCCATCTGGCAACACCAAGATAGAAGCGACTGGCCCGAGAATGCTGAAGTAGCTATTGATCAGCTTGATCCAACAGTTCTTATGGAACGTAGCTGCGTTGCCATGGCGATACAAGCTTCATCACCTAGCGAAATCTTCTCGCTCCGCTCGACGCTCTTCAGCCCAGATCTGAACAAAACGACGTCGTCACGAGGGCCAACGGCTCATCCGACAGCCGAAAGAAACTAAAACGAACAAAATATGGCTAAATTTCGTGGCACAATTTGGCTTCTCTGAGCAACACTAGAAGTGCGTCGGCAGCAGGCGAGCTGTCTTCGAGAAAGTCCCGGATACTGGATGTAATCCCGTAGGTCTCCCTGATGTTCTCGAAGACGCCGAGAGCGTGTTCAACGGTCGCCGGAACCCTGCATATCACGCAGCTCTTCCGGAAGGATCCACCGTCGAAATTGCAGTACAGTCGGCTATGTCCAGTCCTGAGCCTCGATAGGACCCTTTGATTCGGCAGATTCCGGAGGTCGGTCCATGCCTCCGTGCTCCCTTTAATCTTCCGGATGAAAGGTCCTCTGGTGCTAAGCAATGCGTCACTCCACGCTTTTCGAACGGATGACTTTACCCATCGTTTGATGTCCTGCAGCAGAACTTGATCCGTGAACCTGGGGCCGGATGGTCCAGATCCAGCGAGATGGTCCGCTGCCATGTTGCCGGGTATTCTACAGTGGCCCGGGACCCAAGTGAAGACGGTGCTACTAGGGGCATACTTCACGGTAGCCTTAATCCACGGGTGCATTCGCTCCACAGCTGTGGAGCGAAGCTCTTGAATGGCGCTGAAAGAATCCGTCAGGATCAGTACTGGCTGGTTTGCTGGTGCCGTGGTCGCCAGGAAAAGTAAAAAAAGACGGAGCACTGTGGCGGTAGGCTGCTGTTTGCTAATATGCCATCTCCTGAAACTTCCATAGAGACGCCCAAACTGGACCGGGAACCATCCGTGTACCGGTGCGTGTATTCTTCGTAGTCGGAACCGAGAATTTCGGCTACAAACCGGCGCAGGCCATGGAGTTGTCTCCTGCTTTGAAGCGGTTTTTGATTCGGCTATCAACTTTAAGGTCGGGAGAGAGCCAACTCTTCTCTCCGTGCCAATAGATCCTAGCCACCGGGGGGAGGTCAACGTTAACGACCGTTCGCAGAATTCTATTCCCCTCATCGTCATAAGCCGGAATCGGAAAGAGAGAATTCCTGCTTCCACGCAGGCTGAATCAGCTGGGGTGGAAGACAGGAGGCCTGAAATGCTACGGATGCATTTATTGAAGGTCGGGGTGAGGATTTCGACGTGTTTGTCTGAGGCCATGCATGTTAGTTCGGTTCCATATAGCAGCTGGCTATCGATAATCGCCTGCGCGACGTGGAAACGAATAGCCCGATTGTTGGATCGGTGGGGTCTCGAAATAGTTTTTATCAGATTGATCCGGTTTTTGCAGCCCCCCTTAACTTGGTGGAAATACGGCTCGAAGGAAAGTGAGCAATCGATAAGCACTCCCAGGAACCGAACGGCGTTCTTGATGGGGATGGCTTGATCGCCAATTTTGATAACTGTCCCGGTGTTTCTGTGCCGCGACGGATAGACATGGCATCTCACGCTCTTCCTGACAGATAGCTGGAATCCTGCTGCTCCGGCCCATTTTGAAACGGCTGAAACCGCAGCTTGCGCTAACTTCTTCGTCCGCACTGTGGTGGGCCCTGTGAACACGATGAGAACATCGTCAGCATATACAAAGATGTGTATATTTTTGGGCAGCTGGCCGAAAACTCAGGAAGAGTATGACAGCGATCACTGATCCCTGGGGGACCCCCGTTTCTTCCCGAAAGCAGCTGGATTTCTAGCAGCACTGAAACGCTTCACCGCTCGTCGAGGGCGTCCAGCGTTGATGATGTGCGACAACGCCAATAATTTTGTAGGAGCCAGTGCTGCGTGCTGTCAACAAAGTCAATTGATGTTAAATATTGACACTGATATTCGTAGTAAGCACGATATTTGGTGGTACGGCGTTGAAAATCTTACTTTTATCTCAATAAATCAAATTGTTTGTATAACCTCTGCATTGTTTAAATATTACTGATGACTTTTCTTATGATCGGTACTCGATTAGGTGGCGTATATAAGAAACAGTTGCGGTTGAACTTTTGATATCAGTGGTCTCTTTACGATGTCAATGTCAGTTGCGCACTGACATTGAGGCGAATGATATTGATATTCTAACTGTGTGAGAAGATACTGACATCAGGTGGCTACTGAAATTCAGCATTTCGTAGGTATAGATATTGATATTGCACTGATAGGAGCTAATCGAGAACTACTGGAGTTGCTGATGCTGTTCGAACGTCAGAAGTTCCAGAACGCAGTAGCCAGTAACGCCACATCGAAGAGAATCGAGTTAAAGTTCATCCCGAAAAGATCACCAAACCTCTCAGGTTTATGGGAAGCTGCCGTAAAATGCTTCAAGAACGCCGCCAAGAAAGCCATCGGAACAATGACTCCACTCTACGACGAGAAGCAGACAGTACTCGTACAGATCGAAGCGGTTTTGAAGTCCTAACCCCTCACTCCAGTTAGCAACGATCCTGAAGACTACGAAGCGCTCACACCAGGCCAATTTCTAGTGCAACGGACGCTGACAGCAATCGCTGAACCGAACCTGGAGCATCTTTCTGCTATTCAGATTTCAGTCTGGCAAAGATTGCGAGGATGGTTTATTTACAGCAAACTGTGTGCTACTATAGATTATCAGTTCTGCTGAATACGGGAGAGCGAATAGACTTCTCTGACGTTTGTGAAATGCACAAGTATTAGCGTAGAACTCGGGGCAAATTATAAGTATTAGTGCAAGAAAACCTTTGAATTTGCCCAAAGTTCTGCACTAATTCTTGTGCACTTCACAAAAGTCAGAGAAGTCTATAGTGAGTGAGTGATCGTGTATTAGGATGGCTCTAGCATCATGTATAGAAAAAAAATAATTTTAACGGTAGGCACGATCACAAACACTCGTTATTATAAAATGTATAATGCTAGGGGTATTCAACTCTGCACACATTCATTTGTGCCGAGTAATTGAGTTGTACCGAAAGCTGTGCGAAGCACTGTGCCGAATGTGCC